TCAGAAAAGTTCATCAATTCGAAAGTCTTTTTAGATAACCATTGTGTCCTCTAAAATCTATGTGTCAGCTACCCCGGTATCAATTTCATACAGTAAAAATTTTAAGGCATAAATATAGAAACATTGCAAACTGGTAACCCTTCTCGAGTGTCCCTTTCCTTGTCGTAAAACAACTAACTACATAACATTAAAATAATAGAATAGTTAGATGAGTCACTCATACAGCGTCATTATTAGAATATATATCAAACTCTACAGGCTACTTACGCACATTAATATGCACTAAATCCTCCAAATCTATATCAGTATGATGAGGTATTCATGACGATCTGAAGTTGTCACCTAAGCCTTATTTCGTGCTGCAGTGTATCAGCATAACTGAGATTTTGAAGTTATGGTTAACAATGCAAACGCTCATCTGATTCGGGACAATGGCGAAAAACTTTGCGATGTTATTTTTCGCAAAGCAATTAGTATAACTTGAAATTAATCAAATGAACGTGGAATAAGTTATGTAAATCCCACAATATTTTAGCTTAAACATTAACGTTAATTGGTATTTTCACATTTATTTTATCTTCCTTCGCTGTACGAAAGTTTTTAATGCTGAATATAGAATTTAAATATTTTTCGTCGGATATTATGGGTAGTTATATTTTCAGTTATTCACAAAATCGTGACATAACAATGAGTATTGGTGCGTACTTTTCAGAACTTTTTGTTTAAATCGGTAGTTAAATGAAGAAATACTGTTTGTTTCACTTCTCATATTTTCTCGAATGCGATGTAAGTTAAATTCTCACACTAAACTCCGCGGAGTTTTTGAGGATCGCCTTCAGCTGGGTTTATTTTGCGATAATTTCTTCAAGTCCCCCAAAAAGATTTTAATGCAAAAAATGACGCCTGAAAAGTCGTTTAGATTAGGCCAATTGACTCGATTAAGTCATTGAATAATTGCAGCATTAATCAGAACTTGTGTTAAGAAACAGTTCACGTGATTATCTTATGTTTATTTGTCAAAGTTTGTGTGGGTGTGGGTTTGTTGCCAGGAACTACAATGTATTTAAATTACGCTGCCGAGGCCCAATCCATTAATAAATATAAAAATAAAGTCGTCAATAGCTCCAGGAATTATAGTTCAATGGTAAATCTCTTGCTACTTAAAAATGGATTAATAAAACTGCGTGTAAAATAATTAATTATCCCGACATACCATCAGGCACAAAAGTAAATCTAAAAACCGTGCGTTTATTTAAGCCAACTATCGGTTTTCAAAAAGAATCTTTTCAAGTCCTTATTTCGGAGCCTTTCTGCCCACACAAAAATGAGAACAACTATTTGAAACTAAATGAATAAACTAATCAAAGCAAACAATATTGCACGGATCACACACGATTAATAAAGTTTAACGTTAAGTTTATCTGAAGGTTTCCATTGCCAACATTCTCATTCCTTCTACATGTTTATCTATATAGAATCTATATTATCGTCTACATATATGAAATCAATTAATTTGATATATCTTGAGCATGCCTAATATATTCTCTCATAGTAGGGAAGTTTTCATGACTTTTATTGATCACGAACAACTGTGGGTTGATAATTAATTGGAGGCTTAAAATTTCCGACGGTTCTAACTCTAAGTGGATCAAACAGAATGCAGAGAAACATGATCATTTTAAATACAGTTTGTTCAGGTTAATTTGATTTACATTGATTATAATTAAACATCACAGCAAGGTTCTTGTGTTTTTGTTAGAATATGATTAATTAACTTCTTCTTATCACTTGATTGGTAGGCTTTAGTGTGAAAAAAAAAGAAGAAATGCGTTCTAGAAAGATTTTTTTTTTTTGCAAATGAACGAAAAGTTAATTGTTATTAACGTTTCTTGACTGCGATTTTCCAATGAGCGTCCAGCAATTATGTTCACCGGAAAAAGATGAATGGTAAAATTACAATATTTTATCTTTAAGCTGGAAGGCTGGTATTTAATTAATTAGAGTGAACTTATATAATCAGAAAGCTGAATGCGTTATGCATTGTCAGCTCATGATCTACACGGAATGCACTAGACAGAAGGAGAATTTCAATATAGGTCCTACATTACATTTGTAAATTGGGCGACTTATATGGCCAATTGCTACTGCAAAGTGGTATTTGTATTTCAGCTGTCTATTATGTAAGGAACTTGATGAACCTTAAATTTCTATTCGGGTTGTTACCAGCAAAAATTAATGTAAGAAAATTCCTCTCCCATACAAAGTTTTTATTCGCTTCAAGGGCAAAAAATAAACGAATGTGATGCACGCGCTCGTGGCTGTGAGTCGACAATTTGTTTGTACTGAGCAGTGAGACTTATGGAGATATGGATATCAATATAACTATTATTCAGCGCCTCCATGTTGAATTTTGAAAATCCTACTCTCATCCAGAACGGGAACTGTTAACTTTTTATCAGGACTCACAATTTAACCTTTTAGCGGGGAAGTTACCATACATGGTCACTTAAAATCCCCCAAAAGACCCGCCATGGCTTCCGGCCCCCCTTTTGGGGCTACGTTATCATGCCTCTGCCAATCATTAGATCGCTGTTCCATGCATGGCAATGACCGTATATTATAGATTCAATTACGATTCTTTCTTTCATTATGCAAAATTTTTGAAAATATATATGGGATAATATATCTTGAATAAATCAGTTAAAAATATATTATATAAGGTGTTCTCATATTAATATAAGCATATCTTATATTGCTCATTCATTCCTGAACTGCAATCAAAAATTTGAATTTCAGCATATTTCTATGCTTGCCCGCGAAAATGTTAATGACCGTCAAGCATCCAAAAATCACGTGATTTTCTTCAGCACACACATCGATATTGATTCATCATGCAAATAACGGTTGAAGACTACAAGAAAATATGAAAACATGAATGACATTTTGTGCCGCCGTATACATGCAGTAAAATATAAAGAAATATAACTCAGTACTCACTGCAGTGAGTGACAGAGAGCGCATTTTCTCGTCGACGAAAACGTGAACTCACGGACGGACAGACAGACTGACAGACGGACAGACAGTCGGACGGACGGACACGGCGAGCACAATAGTGCATTTTTTCTATAAATGAGAAAATGCGCTAAAAATGTTCTAGAACTTGCTGTGATCTTGCATGAACAACTTGAGAATTCGTTTCATTTTTGTTATGTTTTATTATTTGAAAAAATATCTCATTATGCGCCAATAATTACCGCATTAAATAGTGGAAATTTTCCAATTTAACGGTAGTTGCTGATACTAATTACCTCGCATTTTGCAGTATATGTCAATCGTTGCTGCGTTACTTCTTGGTAGGCATTAAATATGTTTTTAATTACTATCAATAATTTTATTAAAATTACAAACTAAAAATTTTATTACAACAAAACGTATCATTTAATTGACACTCGAGTATCAATAGTGCATTAACAACTAATACGATAGTAATTAATAAATGTATTTGAGTTTGTTTCAGATAAGACACGGTACTCTGGGAGTTCAATGACTTTCATTTGTATTGAAACTATTTGTAAATTGTGTACGTTCATAAAGAGTTGAATCATGCCTGCTTCATTCAACTCCTGAAACCCTGCAGAAGTTGATATGAAAAAGTAAAGCCTGCCAGCTTAGCACTTGAGAGTTAAGCGTACTTCTTAAGAGCTGGAGCACAGCACTGGGTACACGATGCCTTTTTTACCTATTGAACGTTTGATCACGTTATATTCTGAGAACATTGATGCTAGTCTGTCAGTTATGTAGAATTCCTGGACGTCCGTTGCTTGCGAGGCGCTTGGTCTTGATGACGAGAGGCTCGCCACCTTCTGCCCTGCAGAGACGCCGCTGGTTCGCAATGGACCCGTCGCTTGTGAAGGCCTTGGCGGTATTGGCGAGTAATTATTTTTTTAGTTAATATGCGTTTAAGAAGTGACCATGTTAATTTACTATCGGATATGTCTTATCATTTAATATTTTTTGAATATCTGGGAAATAATGTACGCAAATCGAAACATTTCAAAATTATCATATTCGACAAAATATTAAATTCAACATTACATGAATACCTTGTGTTTTGTGTATATCTGAACGGTCATTTGCTGGTGGAAACATTTACTGTGAGCAAAAATTGTTTACTTTGGTTTAAAAATAATGTCATGGTACATTAACATTGCACTGTTAAAATATCTTTGATATTTGCTCTAATGTAGAAAAAGAAAATGATAATTAAAATAAAACGATTGTATGCCATTTTACTGTTTCCACTTTGTATTCTCGAATACTACTATAAAATAGCTTCAAACTTACATACTGTGAAGTAATACACAACTATAAATGTTGACTGTACTTCATCGTAACTAACGTCAATGTCACGAACCTATTGCTAGGAGTCGCGTTCAAACATAAGCTAAACCGAACCTCCGCATTCCTGCACTTGTCACTCAACTGCCTGTAGATGAGCAAATACCGTCGGCAGCAATCATTTACCTTATTTTTCATTCATACTTAAATATACTCATGTAGATTCAATGCACACAAATTGAAACAGAACACGCAGCCCACCAATTTAACGCACACAAAGTGTCGCCTTTGTACGACACGTTGGGCGCGATGATGTCGATGTCTTTCATCACCACCTTGAAGGCGGGATATGTCAGGAGTTAAATACATATGTAAAATAGAAAACGTGATATCCGCCTTCCACCATCGGTAGTTGGCCACGTCACCATCAGTGACGTCACAACGAAGCCATAAATAAGCCGGGCCGCGGAGCTGTCAGATAGCCTGTGTCAGCCTATTAACATGCACCTGCGGTGCTTGCTGACAGCTCCGGTCAATCCTTTGAACCTCCGCACCATCGAACTGTCAATAGTGAACAATTAAGAGTAATGTGGTGTTTCACTCCCTTCCTGCCGTCAGTCTAAGAGTAGGACGATATTCATGACTACACTGAACCCTCAGGACTTAATTAAGTACTCAAGGCTCTAGGAAGCCTCAGGTCCGGCCACGAAGTAGCAAAGGACCTGACAACTGGCGCCCGACCGTCAAGAGATACTCTTAAAGTGACTGACTTCTACGTGCAAATTCAATGCAAAGTGGCAGTGAAAGTGATTTAGACGATAGTCTTAACACTGAAGTGAAACAACGACCGGTGCGTGTTAAAAAGGTGCCTGTTAGATATCCAGACAGTGAGCTAAAAGTTATTCCCAAGAAGATGGATTCAACAAGTGAACCAGTGGCAGCGTCAGCGCCCGCAGCCGCGCAAGCCGCAGCAGGGGAAGCTCCCACATCGGGATCACTGACGACTAACATGGTAAATTCTAGGCCTGCATTGACTTATGTATGTGCACCTCAAGAAATACCTAATTTCAGAGGAAATGTATTACCAGGAGAGCCACCAGCACAAGGAGGTACAGCTGAAGTAGATGTAGAAGCATGGCTTCATCACTTGACGCTGCATTTTGAATCGACAGGATTGACCGACGATCGTAGCCGTATTCGTCAATTAGTTCAGCATACCCATAAGAAACTAGGGGATGCTAGAACCGTGGTATCAAAATACCTAAACGACGATCACATGGACTTTACTTTTGAAGAAGTCAGACGAGATCTGCTGCTAACCTACGCAGGTGTTACAAACATCTCGTTCGTAGATGCATCACGCGAATTGATGGATGTCGCTCTCTCCGCAAAGCCTCATAAGGTCTCAGCTACTGGAAACGTTTACGCTATTAGAGATGCCGCTCTCAAGGTCGCAAAAACATTCGTGAACAGACCAAGTTACAACGCTGCAGCAGATACGCGCTCAACGCTCGACATCCTAACAGAAGCTTTCTTCGCATTTGGAGCAAGTTTGGTTTTCAAGAAGCGCATCGTGACTGACACACTGTTGAAACGCAAAGAAAATGATCGCGTCGCCAATGCGTATCAAGCGCTAACACACTTTTTAGTGGCTACTGAGAAAGAAATTTACCGGAATCAAAACGGTACTTCAACAGTGACTAAAGTCCATGTGGAAAACAAGCCTTCTTCAACGGATACTTCTTCGGCGACAGCAGCATCAGCGCCCACCCGCGGAAACTATAATTACCGGCGGGGGAGAGGACGCTACCGTGGACGGTTCAACAATCGCGGTAATCGAGGAGGAACCACGAGTCATCAGAACCCTACGAGCAACAATTCAAGAGGCGGCAACCACAACCATAATCACAGAGGTGGCTACCGAGGTCACCAAAAAGTTGAGTACTATAATGGTAATGAAACTAAAAATGCTCTTTGTACTAATTGTAGTCCCACAGGAAATGATAATTGTTCATCGCATGAATGAGACAGAGCGCGGGAGGTAATTGTTAAAACTGTTAACTCCCGCCAACGAATGAATGGCCCGTGTCCAGAAACATTTGTCAAGTGTGAGAGCATGTGTTCTAATTTAGTTCATAAGCAATCTTCTTGCGAAGTGTTTTTGCAATCAAACATCAGGAATGAGTCTTTGCCGTCGGATGTGGCAGTCGGTATAGTGGAACCCTCGCGAAGTTTCACGGACGATTTGCATGCTTCCGATAGTGATAAACTTGTACTTGAAACAGAGCTGACGAGTTCTAAAATTCAACGGCCAGTGACTGATAATAATGAAAGTCCAAATCTGAATCCTGTGGGGTTAGGCAAAAGATATGGTAAAGAAATGAAGAATTCGAACGCTGAACAAGTCGTACTCAATACAGATGCTGATGCTTGCAATTCTAAATCTGCTTTTCCCCAATGGGAAAAATGCTATATATCCTTAATTAAAGGCAAATCATCAACAATTAAATTGTTTGATGAAGGCGGTGACGACGACAAAGTACGTGTCCCCATTATTAAGCTCATTGTCAACGACAAATTAATGCCAGGATTCCTAGATACCGGCAGCACAACGACGTTAATAAAAATAAGCGCTCTTAATAAAACTGCACAAATTAGACCAACAAATGTCTCGGCCCTCTCTGCGAGCGGCGACGAGCTTGAAGTAAAAGGCGAAACTGAGCTGATTATTAAACTGCCTAATGATAAAATTGTGCAGCTAAAAGCACTTGTCGTTGAAAACGGAACAAGTTTTCCGTGTAAAATTTTAATTGGTACGGATCTGCTAGTTAAATCGAAAGCTATTATTAACTTTCGTACAAACGAAGTCACTTTCACCCGTGACAGCCACGCGGATGCACAACCACGCGAAGATGCACACAGAGCCGCGCCTGCTCATGTGAGTAACAACGCGCACATAGCCATGCGCGGTAGCGATCCGTCAGCGACGCCGCGCGAGCATTGCACGCAGCCTGAACGCGTACGGTATTTGCACGTGAACAGCAGAACTGTAATACCAGCATACTGCAATCTTGTGATGACGATACGTTGTCGAAAAGTTCCTGATGGCACTTACTGTGTCGAAAAAAATTCCGTAAACGGAGTTTTGGTAGCGTCATGTCTAGTTACTATTAGGAAGGGTGAATGCCTTGTAATGCTACTGAATGTGACTGCTGATGCAATAGCATTGAAAGAGAATCAAATTTTATCGACTCTCGAAAGAATAGATTTAGAGACTATTCATATTCACTCTTTGTCTTGCGTAGATCGCAACGCTGGAATCGCAGAAAACTCGCAAATAGCGCCGCTTAGGGCTAGTGACATAAATACGTCTGAAAGCGGCGAAACGCTACTTAACTTGCTGAGCATTCTAAACCGTCATCGTAACGCAGTCGTGCTTCAGGGCGAACCATTAGGAGTCACACATCTCCTAACGCACGACATAAAGTTGAAAGAGGAACATAAGAACGATGTGGTCTACATAAAGCAATACAAAATAGCCCACTCTCATTTGGGTAAACTTGACGACGCGGTAGCGGATATGCTAAAGGACGGCATAATTGAGCCAACTAATTCGGCATGGAATTCGCCTATCATCCTAATACGCAAGAAGTCTGGTGAATTTCGGCCCGTAGTAGATTTTCGTAAACTAAACTCGATAACTGAAGCCACGCGATTTCCGCTGCCTGAAATATCATCACTAATCAACACACTGCGTGATGCCAAATTCTTCAGCTGCCTTGACCTTATAAGCGCTTTCTGGCAAGTGCCTCTTAGCGAGTCAGCATCGCTTAAAACCGCGTTCAGTACGGCTAGGGGTCATTATAAATTTAAACGGCTGCCTTTTGGTCTAGTAGACTCGCCTTGTGTGTTCCAGGCATTAATGAACGCGACTCTCAGCGAATTGCTGGGTGTGTCCGCTCTGGTTTATCTCGATGATGTGATTATTTTTTCAAAGACTAAGCTCGATCACTTGAATCACATCGCAGCAGCTATCCAGAAAATTCAAGAGGCCGGACTCAAAATAAAGTTATCTAAAAGTAATTTCTTCGAAACGCGCATAAAATTCCTCGGACACATAGTGTCAGCCGATGGCGTACAAATAGATAACGGGAAAAACGAATGCATCCGGAATTATCCAGTTCCCAAAAATGCGACTGAAATCAAGAGNAAGAAAACGCTCGATGAGAGTATGGATGAATACCTTGCTCAGATAAATAAGAAAACGAAACTTCGTTCTCTGTCCGAAGGACAGCGCTGTTTTGTTCGACACGTTCCAAAGGAAAAAGAGTGTAAGAAACTCGCGGCCAACTTTGAAGGTCCGTACATAGTGATGGAAAAATTATCGGAAAATATCTATAATGTTCAACATACAGTAACAGGCAAAGTACGTCGTTCGCATATCGACAACATACTTACGCGCTAAAACTCTCAGAATTTTGTTTGCGCTTTGTCACTTCTCTGAAGGTTTTAGGTCTGCTTTGATGATTGAATTTGCGTTATCAAAATGCAGGTATTTCTCCACACGGATCACGTTTATTAATTATAGTAACGCTGTTAATCTCAAACTATTAGCTTGATTCACAATTGAGACAGGGATATTACGAAACTCCATTTGTCAATCTGTTTGCATGTGCGATAATCCCGTGTACATCGTATAACTGCTGTGCTGATGTACGTTAATAAGTACTTTAAGTCAGGATAGACTAAGCGAAGTTCATTTCCGACTTACTATTCTCGCCCTGAACAGTGATCCACTGTTAACTTCGCTAATTTCAATAATGTTGTTACTATGCGCAACTGTCTTGAATAGTTTTTTCACTTAGTGATGACTTCGTCGATTAAAATTGTTACTTGTCCGTCGATTAAAATTGTTACTTGTCCATTTAACTTTATGGGTGTGTACTATCATCATTCCATATTAACTGCGTGAACATAGAGTATTGATCCGTTCTCCCGAACGTATTAGTTTTCTCGTTTTTTTTCAATTAAGATTTATAATTACTCGTGTAAAGTTTTGTATACAATTTTGTTCTCACCGAATGTGTGCTACAAATCGGTTTGTTTCAGGAAAGTCAGCGGGCCCACGCTGGTGTGAGTCGCGCTGGTTGCATTCCTGAGCCCGTGTGATGGTAGTAGCATCGAGACCCCGACCCGCTTCTGTCTGACGGTCTGGTGGTCGCGAAGCTACAACCACTTACTACTGTAAGTGGATCGCGATTCGTAACCATTGAAATGGAGGCCATAGGCTCTTGGTTGCAAATCAATTGGAATGGTCAGTATGACGAGAAACAACGGTTAGTCGGTGATAGGAATGTTAGATGACTTATCGTTCATTATTGGTGAGGTCATGCACGTGTTGGTTGTCCGTCCGGGATTTCATCAGGCATTGGAAGTATGGTCATTGGCCTCCCTGCGAAACCAATGGTGAGATGTGGAAGTTGTGCGACGGGACTCGCTAAACAAGCGATCCTTAACACTTGGAGGCGACAGCGCCACCGTCGCCCTACCTTTCTCCATCCAATCTATGGTGAACTATGGTAAAAATTGTCTGCCACATTGTAATTGTGGAAAATATTATCACCCTGTGTCCCTGGCCAAAGGAAATTGTTAGAAAGTCGAACGCTCCGGGGACCCTCGCTTCTTGAGGAGGGGAGGGAGGATGGTCGAACTCCATCGCACAAACCCCCATGACTCCCGTGGAGTCACAGGTAGCTCCGCCGGTGGCGATCATTCGCCCCCCTTTGCTACTATTAAAAGGGTCTCGCATGGAGAAATTCATCCTGAGACTTAAATTTCTCTAGTTTTACGTGTTTATCAACATTTCTTAGCCAGCATACCCATGTTTATGATAAAATGAATAGTTTTGCATATAGAACTTGCATGTTGATGTCTAGAACAAAGCTCAACTTGATATTGATAAGTTTTTTAAATAAGTGTACATTGATCTGCTCGTTCGAATCTTTCTGTTAATGTGTATGTACCTTTAGGAACCTGGCTAAAATTTGTAAACGTTGTTTTTCGGCATATTGGTCAAGAACCGAAATTAAAAAGTAACGTAAGAACTATTATTAATGGCTGTTTAGCCTTAAGTTCGAATTAACGTAAAAAAAATTCATCCGATCCACTTATAGTTGGGCTAACTATTAGATTAACGTAAGTTACCATTGTTGTAACATTAATGCCTTTCCTTTGTACGCGAGCACGCCCACGTACCTGCTCGCAGAGGAACAACTCAAGAGTTACCATGAAGACTCGGCACGCTCCTGCCGAAGAGGAAGGATACCATCAAGAGTTTCCTTTACCTTAGACTTAAATTGTGTTGTATTCTAGGCTTGTAGATTCAGTTTGATTTGTTGCCAGTTGGCCAATTCTCGCGTAAATATAAGAACTATATTTCTACTTTAATGTTCATGCCTCGCAACTATTGAATACCGTTCTATTCCATTCACTTTATATTGATCATAATACCATCCAGTAGAGTTGATCGAGGACGACCAAATATTTTCGGGTAGGACGTGTCAGGAGTTAAATACATATGTAAAATAGAAAACGTGATATCCGCCTTCCACCATCGGCAATTTGCGAATGGGATTTATTCCTGCCTGAATGCATGAGCGCAATCAATACCGCGTTCAACGTAACCGTCGGCGATTCACCACACTTTTTGTTGTTCTCAAGCGATAAAAATCACCCTGCGGCAACTGCTACTACCGAGCAACAATCAAAAATCTACAATTACGATGATTATTACAGTGTAGCTGTAGATAGATTCGCTAAAATTCGCGAATATCTTAAGAAAACGGTCGATGAGAGTATGGATGAATATCTTGCTCAGATAAATAAGAAAACGAAACTTCGTTCTCTGTCCGAAGGACAGCGCTGTTTTGTTAGACACGTTCCAAAGGAAAAAGAGTGTAAGAAACTCGCGGCCAACTTTGAAGGTCCGTACATAGTGATAGGAAAATTGTCGGAAAATATCTATAATGTTCAACATACAGTTACAGGCAAAGTACGTCGTTCGCATATCGACAACATACTTACGCGCTAAAAGTCTCAAAATTTTTGTTTGCGCTTTGTCACTTCTCTGAAAGTTTTAGGTCTGCGTTGATGATTGAATTTGCGTTATCAAAATGCAGGTATTTCTCCACACGCATCACGCTTATTAACTATAGTGACGCTGTTAATCTCAAACTATTAGCTTGATTCACAATTGAGACAGGGATATTACGAAACTCCATTTGTCAATCTGTTTGCATGTGCGATAATCCCGTGTACATCGTATAACCGCTGTGCTGATGTACGTTAATAAGTACTTTAAGTCAGGATAGACTAAGCGAAGTTCATTTCCGACTCACTTCTTACCCTGAACAGTGATCCACTGTTACTTCGCTAAATTCAATAATGTCGTTCCTATGCGCAACTGTCTTGAATAGTTTTTTCACTTAGTGATGACTTCGTCGATTAAAATTGTTACTTGTCCATTTAACTTTATGGGTGTGTATACTATCATCATTCCTTATAAACTGCGTGAACTTAGAGTTGTAAGATTGTATTGATCCGTTCTCCCGAACGTATTAGTTTTCTCGTTTTTTTTTAATTAAGATGTATAATTACTCTTGTAAAGTTTTTGTATACAATTTTGTTCTCACCGAATGTGTGCTACAAATCGGTTTGTTTCAGGAAAGTCAGCGGGCCCACGCTGGTGTGAGTGTCGCTGGTCTCATTCCTGAGCCCGTGTGATGGTAGCATCGAGGCCCCGACCCGCTTCTGTCTGACGGTCTGGTGGTCGCGAAGCTACAACCACTTACTACTGTAAGTGGATCGCGATTCGTAACCATTGAAATGGAGGCTCTTGGTTGCAAATCAATTGGACTGGTCAGTATGACGAGAAACAACGGTTAGTCGGTGATAGGAATATTAGATGACTTATCGTTCATTATTGGTGAGATCATGCACGTGTTGGTTGTCCGTCCGGGATTTCATCAGGCATTGGAAGTATGGTCATTGGCCTCCCTGCGAAACCAATGGTGAGATGTGGAAGTTGTACGACGGGACTCGCTAAACAAGCGATCCTTGACAATTGGAGGCGACAGCGCCACCGTCGCCCTACCTTTCTCCATCCAATCTTTGGTAAACTATGGTAAAAATTGTCTGCCACATTGTAATTGTGGAAAATATTATCACCCTGTGTCCTTGGCCAAAGGAAATTGTTAGAAAGTCGAACGCTCCGGGGACCCTCGCTTCTTGAGGAGGGGAGGGAAGATGGTCGAACTCCATCGCACAAACCCCCAAGACTCCCGTCCCAGTTAAAATTACCTCACAACCCCCTCACTGCCCCCTCACAACCCCCTCACAACCTCCTCACAACCTTTTCCCAACCCCCTCACTACCCTTTCACACCCTCCTCACAACCCCCTCACAACCACCTCACAACTCCCTCACTACCCCCTCACAACCACCTCACAACCCCTTCACAACCCCCTCACAACCCTCTCACAACCCTCTCACAACCCCCTCACAACCCCCTCACAACCTCCTCACATTTTCCTACAAGGTGAGGCACGTTTCCGCTCGAACTCATCTCCTCCTGCAACTACCATACTCCCAGGGCATTCTCATCACTACCTTTTCACTCTTACATCCTTTCACCATCTCCTCTCAGACTGTCAACATGGCTTTATTGCCGGTAGATCCTGCACCACTTAACCTCTTGTCTACTCTGAATGAATGGACTCACCTGCTGGACGAAAGGGAGCCACTAGATGCAGTGTACCTCGATTTTGAAAAAGCATTTGACAGTGTCCCACAGGAGTGGCCCTACTCCATATAGAGGGAAATGTACTCCATTGGATGAGAGGGAAATAGAGGAAAATTTAATCCATTGCATCAGTGATTTTCTAGTATGTGGACGACAACGTGTCAGTATTAACGGAACCGTGTCAGACTGGACATCAGTGCATTCATGCGTGCCACAAAGAAGCCCTTAGCGTGCCACAAGGAAGCGTTCATGGGCCTATTTTACTCGTTGCATTTATAAACGATCTGTCAGAATTAGTGTCAAGTGTATGCTCCATGTATGTCGATGACACAAAAGTTTATAATACAGTGAAGGATGTGTCGAATAAAGTGCAAATGAAAGATGATCTTGATAGTTTAGTTAAATGGGCTGATACGTGGCAGATGCGTTTTAATGCTAACAAGTGTAAAGTACTTCACCTCGGGATGAACAATGAACAGCATGATTACAGTTTGAAAAGACATGGTTGCAATGAGACAGTAACGATTGAAAAGTCTAGCGTGGAAAAAGATTTTGGGAGTTTATGTCGACAAGGTGCTGAAATTTACTTTCTAAGCATATTGAAACGCAAGCATATATTGAATCAATATCAACGACCTGTTGCCGTCGCATCTACTTAGGGAGAATGTTGCCAGCCTAGCACCTTTTATGGTTGAACTGTTCAACCACTCCCTCGCTGACGGCGTTGTCCCTGAGAACTTCAAATCCGCTTACATCACGCCGCTTCTCTAAAAGCCGGACCTCGACGCCTCAGACCCAAATTCGAATCGACCCATCTCCAACCTGTCGATTTTATCGAAACTTCTCGAGCGCGTTGTGGCCCGGCAGCTAAATAACTACCTTCATAAGTCAGGTCTCATGTCTCGGCTCCAGTCTGCATACCGTCGTCACCACTCGACGGAGACCGCCATGCTGAACGTTCTTTCGGATATTCGGACCGCGGCAACATTGTGGCCCTGGCTTTACTAGATCTTTCCGCTGCATTTGACACGGTCGACCACGCCACCTTGTTGCGTCGGCTAGACGTATCGTATGGCCTGCGCGGTACGGTGCTGCGATGGTTCGAGTCTTACCTCAACAATAGACTCCAATGTGTTCGTCGCGGGCTCTCCTCTTCTACACCATCGACGGTCACCTGCGGCGTGCCACAGGGGTCGGTCCTCGGCCCAATCCTCTTCTTGCTATATACTGCCGATGTGTTGCACATAATTGATTCACACAGCTTGGATCCGCACATGTTTGCCGACGACACCCAAATCTATGGCTACTGTGCGCCGGCTGACGCTGCAGCGCTGCAAGACCGGATGTCTGCCTGCATGGACGCCGTTTCAGATTGGATGCGTTCCAACCGGCTCCAGCTTAATGCATCGAAAACTGAATTTATTTGGTTCGCGACCGCTCGGCGCCAACATCAGCTTCCAACCAACCTTGTGCGCGTGGGCGACGAGTTCGTCGCACCTTCATCCTCTGTGCGCAGCCTCGGCATTCAGCTGGACTCAGAACTATCTATGAACAACCACATTGCCAAAGTAACCGCTGCTTGTTTTGGCATCCTGCGACGAATTCGTAGCGTCAACCGCTGTCACTCTAGGCCGGTCCTCGAGGCCCTCATGGTGGCGCTTGTGCTGCCCAGACTGGACTATGGCAAAGCCACACTCTACGGACTTCCCATCACGGCACTTAACAAACTGCAATTCATAATGAACGCTGCCGCGCGACTCATTTATGCCCGGCGGAAATTCTACCACGTGACACCGATTTTGCGCGACCTTAACTGGCTGCGTATCCAGCGGCGCACGCAGTTTAAAGTCGCTGTTCTGATGTTTCGCTGCCTCCATGGTTTAGCACCATCTTATCTCGCTGAAGGACTACGGCCCGTGTTGGATCTGCCTTCTAGAAGGCGACTGCGTTCTTCGTCGTTCCTATAACAGTAATATCCAGGGCAACCTAGGGTTAAAAGAATTTCAATCTAAATGTGTCGCAAGATCTTCAGAAGGCGTAAATTTTGCTACTGAAGCATCGCCAAAGATCTTGCAATATTCATCCACTCTCTGCACAGTGGGTTCTGCACAGTTGGCACAATACAATCTAACTCTATTCTTTTTGTGCAGGATCAGGATTGGAATTTTCCTATTTGTTCCTGAAATCTTGCAGCTCTGCTGTTGACGCCGTGATAATTTTTTATACATTTGGCAACTCACAGCCCGATTGTGCACTTTTGTTAACAATTAAATTCAAAGGAGGTAATTCATCTGGCGGGAATATCGCAGTTTGGGAAATGGAGAATGTTCTTAGATGTTCTTAAGATCTTAGATGCTCTTAAAAACCCATATATTGGCAACGCTGCTTCCACCCTCTGCACCCTGGCACAGAACAATTACTTAAAAAAGTCATTAGGTGAGGGAAAATTCCACATAAACACCATCAAACAGGGTAAAAAGGGAAGGGCGGGGTAAATTGGGAAGCGCGTCCCACATTTCGTAAAAATGTTGTTGCAGCTAAACTAATCAAAATATTGCAAAACTA